ACAAGTCTAATTGGACGAAACATGGTTAATAAAGTACGGGTTTAGAGGGATAAAACACAAAAAAGTACATAATGGCTATTTAAGAAGGGTACAACCAACTACACAGTACATACGAATACGATACATACCCACACATAACGTAGGTATAATAATTGCAGAGGGACGACAGACGATTAATAATACACACACATAAATATTTTACTTTTCGTCTACCCGCATATGAGGATATAAATTCATTTTTACGGTCTTTTGAACGACAGTACGTGGTCAACCAGAATAGGGTTGCCCCATCCATTACCAGACACAGGCCACCCCTCCCACCGATAGTAGAGGAGTAGTATTACAAACGCATTTTATAAATATAAACATACGCACAGACGCACCCCAAAAACTCGTCTGTGCGACAATGGTTGACGGCGACGGTCGCGGGAGCGTTTGCCAGCATTAAACACACGGCTCCCGCACACGGCGAACCCACAGGGCGACGCACCCCTGCCCTGATCACACCCTCCCACTAGGCGCGTATGTGCCGTGCACAGTATACGCACCATACAGCAATATTATTTTGGTCTCGCTAGCGGGGTTGTTCACACGCACAACTCATATTTTTATTATCATTATCGCTATTATTTAGGTCACGTGTTTAATGTCTGCATTTTTTTCTCTCGGACATAAAATATAATATTCAATTGCGGGACAAAGTAAAAAATAATATTTCTCCACGCCCTTTCATACACTTATGCGTCCGCACCGGATACCTGAATGCGGTTGTCTAGGGCGCGGACACGTACGCGTGCATATTCTTGAAAACGAAACGTTATATCACACTAAGTAAAGTATATTATAGAATAATATGAAGTGCAGCGGTGGTGGTGTCCGAGTAACAGCAAGCAGCTGCAGATGGTCGGGGGACGGGTATCGACGACGACGACGCAGAACCGGTGAACCGTGCGCGCGCGCCTCGCGTTGTCTTCACGGTCTCGGCCGAGTTCGCATCCCGATTATTGTGTTATAGAGTACCATTATAACGGACAGGGGTTCGAAAACGTGTTCATGGACAACTATTATTATTATGCTATACAGTCACGAAGAAGGAGAAGGCAGAGGGGTCGGGTCATGGCGCGGCTGTTGTTGTTGTTGCTGCTGTTGCTCCTCTCACCGAGAAGTGAGAAGATAAAGGAATTATTATATTTTATTTGTCGTAGCAAAATCTATGGGCATATCGGTTATCACTTATCACTTATCATACATATGAGTGACACACGACGGGGGACATAATATAGACTAACTTAGTACACGACACATGGACGCCCGCATCCAAAAATATATACCTGCTATACACAAGGAAAGGACGACCGGAAAACTACAGGTACACAAGGTCGGTCTGTCGTCCCCAAACAGAACATGCAATTATTTTGAGTTGACAATAATAACAATATTGAATATATATGCTAAAACCTATATATTATCAAAAAACGACGACGACAAGGTCGTTACGATAAAACTTTAAAAGTCCAAAAAGAATTATATTACAAAATATATACATTTATGGCTAAATATGAGAAAAATGAAATGGTTTGAGACAACTTTTAAATCTGTTGGTTTTTTTTTTTATAAAGCATAATATAGTATACACGATTGTGATTACCGACCGAACAATTATGGGGCAATTAGGATAGGTAACGACGTCACTCGGAATTAGGAAACTAGAATAATATAGTAATAGGTTCGGGAGGAATACCAACGTTGCGTAACACAAAACAATTTGGTTTTGGAATCTATTTACGAAAATATCGATTAGGCCAAGTTAATTTGTACACCGATTCGCTTTGGATCATTAGGTTGACGAAATGTTTAATATGTGAACGCCATCGAAATAGGATACCACGGTCCACGACATGTCTTTCAAGCGAAACGTGAAATTGCATCTCTTCTAATAAATCTAATCTTCCTTTACGGTTTCTAAAAAAAACGATTGCGAACACGAGAAATATACCTATACGGTTTTAATTTCGATATAATATTACTATATTAGTGTAATAGTGTGATGTTAAGACGTATAATACTATAATGTAAAGAATCTGCTGAGGCATAAGAAAAACTACATAGACATTCTTTTACACATTATCTCTCATACCACAATACGTACCTGTGGCAAAATTATTTATATCGACACCTCTGACCTATCGAATATATTGTAATGAGTTTGGTATGTTCATGAATGATAATATGTAATTTGATTAACACGATTTTTTTATACATTGAATATATTAACTTGTTATAGGTACGTATCATACAGAAAAATGCTGACTTAACAATACAATTATAGCATACAGTAAAATCATTTATTAGTTAATACACAAAATAATTTACGATTTAGCTTTCAACATAATCATTTCGGGTTATGCGTAAAAAGAGTAAATTTATTTTTCATTTATTTAACGGAAGTTCGTGAACAAAATATTAACAAATCCGGAAATCGCCTGAGGTCACTGAACAGTACCTACAGACACAAAAAAAATAATAAACGAGGTAGCTACCTAACACTTAATGTATTCCAACAAGAACAAATTACGTAGGTATCCGATTTAAGAATTTTGGTACAATTTCATGTAATTTTCAAGAATTACTGATGGGTATCAGGCTCTATTTAATAATATAATATAATAAGAACAATTACCTAGGTATTTATCATCGTCTATAAGCGGACTATACTAATATTGTAGAAATCGTTTAAAATTTTACTTTACAAGAGCAACACACAACATATTATTTAAACGTAGTTTGCTTTGTCTTTTACGATATACGGACACGCGTATTTCTTAAAACAATAGTGCAAAGCAATTCGTTTCAACATTAGGTACACTTTAGGAGTACAAGCGATAGAATAATTATTATAATGGGTACACAAAAGTTTGTATTTAAACAAACAATAATGCATAATAATATATTAATATATTAAGTTCCAATTCCGCCCCGCAGACTAATATTATTGTTCAAATTGATGAAAAAAAGTAATCTTTGGGAATCCATAAATGTTGTTGGTCAAGAACATTTTCCGAATCGACCATGCTAACAAAACAACGCCCAACAAGGAAGGGGGCAAGGTTCAAAACTTCGAAAAAAAAAACCACTAAAATCACAAATAAGGGCGTGGAAATTATCGTAAACGACGGCGGTAGCGAAAAGGAAATGGGTACCTACTACGCGGACCGAGGGGACCGTCGAGACTTGAACGGTGGGCTAAGCCGGTGAGTGTGCATGTGTAAACGGAATACCCGGCGAGGTTTTTGTCCGTTTTGTTTCTGGACTCGTTGAGGAAAGGGCAGGTGCGAAAGAACCCGCCGACGACAATGGCTACCACGGGGGCATGGTAGAGCAAAGAATAAAAAACCGTACGGGAACAGTGTCGTGTACTGTTGCGGCATAACAATGAAATGCGTAGCGAATAAAGATGTAATAACTAATAACTAATAAAATAAAAACAACTCACTTGACAATAGGAGACGGTGGCGGCGGCGTTGTCTGAAGACTTGAACACCGCGTAAATCACTACCCAAAAAACACTGAATCGTATTATAATGGTCAGCCGAACGAGAAGGTTCGATATTTTAATCCGGCGATCAACAAAAAAATTAATTTTTAATGAACGAGATGAATAAATATTTTACTTACGTAAGTATAAATGCGTAATATTTTGTATACAATATAAATGTCTATATATTATATTGTGAAGAATAAGACAAAATTAAAATAAATAACGAATATATATTATATCGGCGATCCACGGTCAGTGTACGTGAAGCATCGAAAACAACGACGATCTGCCGGAGCGGCTAGGAATCGGTTTTGCCGTTTGCCGTTCAGCCGTAGCCGCGCGACCGACCAGCCAATCACAGTGGTCCATTACCCACGCCGCCAACAATGCTGCCAACTTAGGGTGTGGTCGACGCACGATTGCCCATCATATAAATATCTTTAGCACGGACCCACACTGACTCGCGACACAGAGTTTGCGGCGGTCCTTATCAGTTATCATTTATCACTATTTTCTGTTTTGAAGAACATCGATAACGATGATAACTGATAATATTTGATACTGCAGTATTGCACTATTGCACCAAAATATGTAAAATGTAAATCCAATTTTCGACTTTTTTAAATAAACTAAGTCTAAAGGTACTAGCCGTTAAGTAAGAAATAAACTATAAAGAAAATTGAGTAAGGTAATAAGAAATTCACCACATCTTCAGAGTAATAGAGTGTACATGTAAGTATTACAATTGCCACAATTGTATTTACCTAACTGTTGTGTCTGTCCATATTTAAATGCTGATTTATAATAGTTAATCTTCCTTATAATATTAATAAACTAGAATTTCAAATGTTTTCTGTCCGAAGGGACTAAATTTGAGTTTGGTTATTGCTGTAAAATTTAGAAGGATATTATATTAATTTTCCATAAAATTGATTTACTTTAATATTTTAATGCCAACTAATTTAGAAAACCTTGTAAGTTACCCTATGTATTTATTTAATACAAAATAAATGTTATTAATTTTTATATAGTATAAATATGTCAGTTTGAAAAGCAATCTTTGTAAAATAAACTACTGGCAACAATTAACAGGTATTAACAATAAATATGATATAATAGATTGAATGGCGGACAATTTCCCCCCGGAAATAAATAAAAAATAATAGTACTATTTTTATGTCTTATTATATTTATGAAAAAAAAAATGAAATTTATAGTATACATTTATAAAGTTAATTGTAGTAGGTATAATTGATTATATTTATGAAAAAAAAATAATTAAAAAAAAGGTGGGAAATGTCCATATCGGAACATTTTTCTGGGGAAAATGTCCTACTACGCCAAAAACAGTCGGGGGGAAATGTCCGGGGGGAAATTGTCCGGATACCAATAGATTATATTATAATATGTGTCCAAATTAGATTTGTTTAATATACATTTTTTTTTTTAGAAATGCTATGTGATGTCTGGTCTAAATCATGTACAAAGAGTTCGTTTATTGTATAAAACTATTTTAAGGCTACACCGAGGCTTACCAAATGAATTACAAGAACTAGGTCAAGCATATGTTCGTGATGAATTTCGTAGACATAAAAACTGTAATCCTAAAGAAACTCAAATATTCATGATGGAATGGAGTGTATGTATAAATATAATACTTAATTAAATTGGTTTTTTAATAACATTAAAATAATTTATATAATTGTTTTCCTCTTAGAAATACACATTGACACTGTCAGAGCAGCTTTTAAAGAACGCAAAATCAAATATTGGTTTTGGTAAAAATATTGATAAAGATGATGGTGTATTAGACTCTTTCACAGATGATCAAATTGTACAACTTTATAATTTATTCAAGGAAACAACTGGAATCAAGGACAAAACTATTGAATCTGAGCTTTCAAAATAATTCAATTAGACTAGACTATATTATATACCTAATATAATATGTACCTAATACCTACAGAAATATATATTTATGTTACTACTGTGTAACTTTGCTAGCTTTAAATAGAATATTATTGTTACTGCATAGTGCATGTATTTTTTTAATCTGTTAAATAATCAAATTATATAGCCACATTATACTTTTAACATACAATATACATATTATAATGTATAAATTAATTGTATTTACCTCAATTAAAAATAAAAATATATATAAAATATTATAATGTAAATGGTTCTCTTTTAATCAAAAAGTAGCTTGTATAATTATTTTTGATTTAATAACAAGAAATGATTTTAATTGTTTTCCATTTATTAGATTACTCAAATAAAACTTTTTTATGTGTAATTAAGAACTTTTTTGTTGCACGCTCACATATTGTAATGATTAAATATTTTATCTGGAAGAATTAATGATCTTTTCAAAATATTATTTTTTTATTGTCAATTTTAATGTCTTACAGATTATTTATTTAAATAATATGTTAATAAACATTGATAGTATGTTCTAGTATAATATTCAATCAATTAAATTAAAATTATTATACTTCATAGATTAATCTTCTAGGCAGTATTTTAAGTGATTGGATGATGACAGTCTAGTTATTTCTTAACTATTTAAAATTAATTTTAAGACTGATTTATAGTTCATAGTGTAACATGTCCAAACAAACAAAAATGAAAGGCCGCTGATATTCATATTATCAATAAATTCTTACATTTGGTTGAACTATTTGATATGTTTTTATAGATGAAAGTTGTTTCAAAGAATAAAACTTTGAAACTAATCTAATAAATATTATTTTATTTTGTTGTATAATCATTGAAAACTTGTATGAAATTTATTAAATTGTTAGTCATATATTAAAATTATGTTCGAAGGTTATGATAACAATTAATACCATTGATATTAAAAATATGGATATGGTATTTATATTTAGACTAAACTTACACTTTTTTTCCAATAACAAAGAGAGAAACAACTGTTTTCTTTGGTATAGAAGCTTTTGAGTGATTCAGAAACTAACATTTAAACAAAAGTAAAAATAATAAATAAATGCTAATTAGTGACGTTGTGTGGGGTATCAGCTATGTTTCCTAACAGAATTTATACAATGCCACATCCATAAATTTAATACTACTGATCATTTAATTTCATCACACTAATTATATTTTGAAACACAAATAGACGATTGTAAACTTTGCCGTAACTTGATCAATATTATAAACTTTGCCCCAAATTCTTGTGTAGTATATATTTTATATATTAACTTGGTTCCAATTTTTTAGGTTATATGAATTTGATGTGTATGTTGGGTCCATATATTATGTGGTGTTTTTGTTAAACTAAGATAACTGTTTTTATTTTTTTTTAATTATAATCCACCAAAAATGTTTAGAATTCATTTATTGTTTCATCATACTTTAAGTTATTCAAATTGTCTCAACCCAACCCCTAGGTATATAAAAAGTGTTGTACAATCTACTAGGTAATAGGTGATGATCAAATGTATTATTATAAATATATAAATACCTATTACCTAGCCCGTTTAATTTTCTTAAAAAAAAATCAAAGTTATAACTATATAAAACAATAAAGTAACTAGGTAGGTAATAATATATCACAATATTTTATTGAGGATTTTTGAAGAAAAAGTTTTAAAATATCTATAATAACAGTGCATAATATTTTTTAACCTACCAGCTACTTACTAATAATAATATTTTTTTTCTAAATGTGTTTTGTTTTTTAGAATTAAGATTTTATAGTTTAGATTTAAGAGTTTTTAAACATAAAATATTTAAATTTTGTTAATTTCCCTGATACCTAGTAGGTATTTTAGTAGGAAAGCCTTATTGACTATTTTCTTTACCTATATTTGGGTATAGTGCTATACTATAAAATATAAAAATATTTAAATTATAAGTTATTTTAGTGAATTTAAACTAGTATTTGTGGGTAAATTAACAAATTCTCATACATGCATTTTCTTATTTTGTTGTTACTCAAAAACTATAAACCATAAGTAGGTACTTGAAATTTTTATCAAATGTTTATTTTATCATTTTCTATACATGTTAAGATTTTAAAAATATTTTGATTCTTTTTGAGTTATTTGTAGAAATTTTTAATTTATGATTCTGTAAATGTCAAAAAAATTGTATTTGTTGGGCCAAAAAGGTTGAAAATTTAATACAATGTTCCTTATGAATAGTTATTAGTTATAATAGCAGACAGCAGTAGATAAATATTAAAGATTCATAGGCACAATTTTTTTTATAAGTATTTAAAAATATTGCACAATTACCAGTGTTGGGTAGTAACGTAACGAAAGTAACGCGTTACTGTAACGCCGTTACTTTGTTTGTAACGCGTTACGTAATTTAATTACAATTATTTTCAAATAACGAAAATGTAATGAAAATTACTTTTGATGAGTAATTTACATAGTATAACGCGTTACAGTTTTAAATTATTTAGTACCTACCTATTGCGAATTTCAAAAAAAAAAAAACTTAAAAATATAATGTCTAATGCGGGTATTATTTATTATACAAGTGGTTAATTATTATACGTTCCTAATGTTCTTATTAACTATTGTCTATTATTAAGCATAAACTATACGTCTGAACATGCACTAAAAATAAATATTGATGGATAACCAATGATAAATCGAATTATTTACATTGCAGTGTTATAAATAATTATTATTGCTGTTTGGCATTTTACAAGAAACGGTGAAAATAATAAACTTATCTAATATCTTTATTAGTAATGAGTAATGACTAATGAGTAATGACCGAATATTCATATGTACAATTTATTACTACTATTTTTAATAGTTATAACTTAAAAGTTATAAGTAATTAATATTGTTAGGTAAGTATTTATGTTATTAACTGTAGGTACATCTTTATCAAATTATACCATATCTTCTGTAGGAAGTGTATTTCTAGTTCCTTTGCTTTTTAAATGATAATAGCTAAGCAATTAAAAAAAAATTATAAAAAAAAAAAATGTAACGAGAAAGTAACGTAGTTACTTTTCTATTTGAAAAGTAAAGTAATTTCATTACAATTTTATTTGAGTAACGAGTAAAGTAACTTTATTACATTTCTCTCTAAGTAACGAGTAAAGTAACTTTATTACTTTTTAAAAGTAATTTACCCAACACTGACAATTACACATTAGTAGGTACAAAATTTATCAAAAATCTCGAAAATTATCAAATTATTTTTTAGTTAATAAAATATAAAATGTTCAATTTGTATAGCTAAAGAATGAATATTTAAAAAAAACGATTCTCATAAATAATCCATACTTTAACCAAAAACTCTTTTATTAAACATTTTATTTACAATCTTTATTTACAATACAATTAGTACAATGGGTAAATTGTATACAAGGTTTATACACGAGGTAGCGGGTGAGACCCGACCAGGTACTTTTTAGTTATAACCAATTTTTTATCTATTATTATTATTCTTATTTTATTTTTTTATTTTTTGACTTGAGTGGGTCCCTAGGCGACTGTCTTCTACATACATTACCGCTAAGTGAGATGGAGGATAGTTGTTTGATTATTGGGTTACTGTGAGAGTTTAATTTTAACCAAAAAATATATAGGTACCTAAACCATTATTTTTTCCAGAAATTTTAAGTTCAAATTTAGACATAATTAAAAAATAAAACCAACAGGCAAGAATATTTATATGAGTTATTTTGTTGTAATTTGAAAATATTATTCGTGCAGGGTACTTGAGACGTTTAGAGTACATACGTTTAGGGTACCTACATTATTATATTGTACCTAGTACCTTGTACCTATAATATAGTATAGGTAGGTACCAAAGGTTGGTGTTAGTGACACAGTCACTCTTTATGTGATCTACGTACTAATTATGAATAGTAGATTAATTGTTTTTAAACTGAGTTAAGTTTTTTTTATATTAACTTTTAACTCATCGATTGTGTGCCATCTTAAAGTCTTAACTCAAGTATTTTCATTAAACTGCCCACCTTTGCTGTACACCTACGTCCTACACACATTACAAAATTACATTTTCAAATTTAATTAATTTAACCTACTGTAGTAGGTACTAATGCCCATTACCTAGTAAAATAAATAAATTTAATCACAATAATATTATACAATTTATTTAGTAGCTGGCACCTAATGGCTAAAACTATAGGCTGATAGTGTCTTTGTTCAGAATCGTTTTTTTATATATTGAACTCAAATTTAACACAATAAATATTTCAGGCTACAACAGCAGTGACTCTCAAGACAATGCACAGATCTTACAATCGTTAGAGCGTTACCTAACCACTTATGTACCAGATTTTTGTTATATTAAAAAAAAAAAAATTGATATTACGTATAGTAATATTATTATTTTCTGTACCTACACAATACATTTTTTTTAAATATTTAGACTAATGTCAATTCTATACCACAATCCTATTAATACCGTTTTACGGTGACTGGTACACTGGGACCCACAGATACATAAAAAGAGTAGGAAAGTTATACTATCTAGTATTTTTACATCTCTGTGATACTAGGTTACCTACCTATTGTGTTATAAGTTCATAATAATGTATTATACAGGTAGTATTATAATGTTTTAATATATGATAATATACCTATGTAGGATATGTATATAATAATACGTCCTATGGCCTATGCACGGCCATATATTATTAATATAGGTAGGTAGTAGGTAATATGCTATTATTGCTATTCAATAAAGGTAGACACATCACACAATTCATAAGAACAACGACCCGCAAAGCTTACCTATCTATACTCGTATAATGCGTGAGACGATTTTTTTATGTTGTTCTTATAAAGATTATTTTAAATACAAAATACTCAAATCTTGTCGATTTATTAAGGATTTTAATTTACTACTTATTCCAAGCCTCTTTTCCACATAAATAGATGCTTAACTATATTT